ATTGGTGGAATCTGATATGAAACATCTTTTTAGTATAATTAAAGGGGAAAGACTTTATTTGATTTATATAAAACTTTATGTGGACTCTGTAAACACTTATTTTCGTCCGAATTTTTTAATTCTATTATATATATATATATATATATATTAATATAGTATAATTTTTGAAAATATTTTTGAAAAATATAATATAGAATTTTTATAGAAAACGATTTTTGAAAAAAATATATATAATATATAGTTTTGAAAACATTTTGAAAAATATATAATATATAGTTTTGAAAATATTTTGAAAAACATATATAATATATAGTTTTTTAAAAACATTATATATATATATATATATATATATATATATATATATATATATATATAGTTTTTAAAAATATTTTGAAAATATATATACTATATAGTTTTGAAAATATTTTTTAAAAATATATATTATAAAAACAATTTTTTGAAAATATATATTTTATATGTTTTGAAAACAATTTTAAAAAAACATATAAAATATATAGTTTTAAAAAAATGATTATATATATTATTTTATTTATTATTTTATTAATATATATATTTATTTTTTATTATTCATTTTTTATTATTTCCATTTTAGGTCCAAATGAAGTTCAACAGACCCGGTTTTTGACAAAGCGTCGCAAGGAGTTCCCATTGGGCGCATAAGACCACGCGCCAGTCAAAGATTCGAAGACCGGCCGTGATTTCTGGCCGAACAGCCCGGGGGACATCCATCCCGTTTTGGCCGGTCAAACGTGCAACAAACCCAAGCAAATCGGAGACGAAGGGAACCATCCCGCCAAAGACAAAAACAACCCCATCGAGGGCTATATAAATATCACTGAATGAACAATCGGGGACTATCAACAACGATCCAACACAGAAAACAAAACCAAAAAGAGCGAAACACAATAATTGGAGGCAAAAATAACACAGAGAGAAACGAGCAAATGCAACAACCCAAAACAAATATCATTCGAATATATAAAACAAAATAATAAAAACATCCAAGCATACACCGAAAGCCATCAAGAGCGTCATCGGAGTAGAGATCGTCAGGAAGCCGAAAAGACGCACCGAGAAAGTTAAAAACCCGAATCTTTCGAGTTAGATCTACGTCGTTGAGGTTTTTTTAGGTAATTTGGGTTTCAGTTTTAGCTTCGGGGTGGCGAGAAGAAGCTATCAGGTAAGTTGATTTTTTTTTCGGCCACAGGAGGCGACGATCGAACGATAGCCAGAGGGTTTCGAGGCGGTCGGCCGAGGGAGAGTTGAGAGAATTCTCCCAATTTTTTTTTGAGTTTTGGGTGAAAATGAAACAAAAAAACAAATTGTTGATATATATAGACAAAGTTAGTGGGAAATTTGCATCTTAAATACCTCCACTTTTGCCTTGTTTTTACATTTTGGTCCCTGTATGGACCACAATTGTTATTACACCAATTTGTTATGCATATTTTAATTATTTGGTAAATTTATTGTTTCAATCCTCAAACTTAGCCATATTTTTACACTTTGGTCACTGGACCATTCGTTTTAATTTATTTTAATTTTATTATTTAGTTTTTTTTATTTTAATTTAGCCGCTGTTATTTTAATTTTAACATTTTGATCCTTATTTATTTATTTTTTTGGTTTTTTGTTAATATTTATTTTCTTAACATTTTTCTTTTTTTATTTCAAAATTTAACCTTTTTTTTCTTTTTACTAATTTTTATTTATCTTTATTTATCTACTTTATTTATTATTATTATTATTATTATTATTATATTAATATTTTTTTCTTTTTTCATATTTATTTTTATTTTACAATCTAACAATATTCTTGACTTTTTAGGGAAATTTTTAATCAATCGAAGGTAAGTAATTTGAATCGGTGTTTTTAAATTTTAATTTAAATTTCAACTTTTGTGATTAGGACAACCGACAAATTAATTGATACCGAAAGAGCAGTACAAGAGTGCTAATCCTTCATTGACTATAACTGACTCCTGAATCCGACATATTTCTGGTAAAACACAAATCAGGTAAGATGGTGTCCGATCCACCTAAATATTTTTTAAAATGATCGGTGGCGACTCTAACATTTTTTTAAGTCGAAGCCCAATTCTATGCCCACCTGAAAGACGGCCGCGACAGACTCAAAGCTCGAGCCCTAGGAATTATAAAATAATTATAATAAAATTTATAAAATAAAATATTCAGGTAGTCATCCGACTAGTAAATTTTTTTTAATTAGATCACAAGAATATAGAAAATTATAAGATTTAAAGAGTAATTCCAATGACATAACATAACATATTACCCGATTACATTTTCAGAAAGCATTTCCATTTTATTTGATGGAAGAAATTAAACAGCAAATTATCCAGGTGATGTGCAACCCAGTGCTGATTAGATTGACCTACACCTAAGGACAAGAAGAGAACAGTATATACCTATCACCATCCCTGATCAAACTAACAGCAATAATAATTTAAAATGGAAATCATGAATTAACAAAATGATATTAATACTCACCAACGAATTACTTGGATGTTGGGAACGTGGCGCACTTTATAGAGATCTTCTCCTTCACATCCGTCTATCACTTGGATCCGCTCTTTCAATGAACTGTTCATGTCTATTAATTTGAGTTGCTGGAGGGTAGTGATATACCTCAACCCTTCTGGAATCATTTTCAAGTGTGAAATCTCCTTCAAACATAAATTCTGGAGATGTGGCATTGCGCCTTGTTCTACCTCCCACTCTTCCAACTCTTTTAGATCGTTCATTTCAAGAGAATCGAGTTGAGGATTTACTTCCCGTATATGCTTTCCTGAGAAACCTAAGAATCCTCAAACAAGGCAGCTTTTCCAATACACACATTGGATCCTGTTTCATCTTACAGTGCATCAAAGTTAACTTGACAATGCCTGGCGGAATAAATTTCAAACTCCCTTGAGGATCTTCTTTCATCTTCCCTTGTAACATTAGTTTGGAGAGGCGATAACACTGATAAAGGGGTTCCAAGTCTGAATACGATGGTATTGAATACTTCCTAAACTCCATGTACAATGACGCAAGTCGTTGCAATTCCCTCAGTGACATTAGGATAGACTTCACATGCTCTGCTCTTTCAAGAACCATTCCTAAACTCTGAAGATTACTCGGTCCTACTATTGCCTTATTTTCAATCAACTTCTCATCCATCACTATGTATTTCAAAGTTTCAATATTTTTGGAAAATATCTTGGGCGCAAACATGGTTTATCTCCTATCCAATAGGGACTGCGCAATACAAAATGCCTCAAACTTCCAAGTTCCAACTTGAATACAACATTAGGAATCACAACGCGATCTACATATTGGAGGTACAAAGTGTGTAAACTCTTCAACCTTCCGATAGCCCTGGGCAGGATTATTTCTTCACCTTATAGCTTCAAATACCTCAAATGATGGAGATTTCCAATGTCACTTGAGACATACCACTCCCCAACATACTTTGCTACAATAGTTAATACCCTCTAAAACTTGAAGGGTTTGCATTTTGAAATATGCAATACTATTAATTTGTTCACGATTTGTCTCCCGAGATTCTCAAGTGCTTTGGGGCAAGCATGAAGATCAGTCTTGTTTTGTGGGAATGCTTTTCTGGTAAAAAGCTTCCAGCTTTCATCATCTGTAAGAAATGGAAGCTCTATTGGAGAGTTGCATGGATCCGCATGTAACGCCACATCCCTGATTCGTGTTGTGAATAGAAGTTTGCTTCCTTTTTTTCCTCGTGGAAAAGCAGGTTTAAGAATATCCCAAGCCTCAATTTTCCAAATATCATCGAGGACTACTAAATACCTCCTTTCTTTCAAGAAATCAAAAAGTCTTCTCATCAGCAAATCCTCGTCGTCCTTCTCAACTCTCTCTTTCATCTTTAGGAGAGTGAACTTTCATCAAGACACCAAGCAAAACTTCTCTTGGGTTACATTGTTGAGATACAAAAACAAAAGCCAAGCAATCAAAACGTCATCTCACTTCAACGTGATGGTATATTTTCTGGCAAGAGTGGTCTTCCCGATGCCCCCCATGCCGACTATTGAGACGACGGCATCGAAACAGTCTTCTTCTGTCATCAATTGGGCCAGGACATCCTTGGTGCTAACCTCTAAGCTAACGACATCCTCTTCCTCAACATGCGAGAATGTCTTTCTTAGCCGCTGCTGCATACTGGAAACAGCTAGATCCTGCTCCATCACCAGGTATCTCATAGGCTGGAAGGCTAAAAAAATTATTAATGTATCTAACTGAACTTTTGAATATGAAAATTATTTCAATTAAATTTTTAACCAACAAAAATCGTTTTAGATCATTATTATATTAATGTGAATGATGATGAGAGAAAAATTAATTTACTTTTTAGAGGTAAGGTATCATAACCATCTTAGTGATGTAATTGATAGAAAACTTTTATTTATTGGAAATCTCTCAGAACCTCTCTAGAATTTCAAGTATATTTTCCAAAGGAGAATGATGAGAATAGGGATTAATATGCTGCTATATTTTTTAACGTTGAAGGAAAAATATTCTTACTTTCCATTCATTATTTCATATAATAGTCGTATTAATATTCGACTTCAATCCTACAAGTGTTTTAATCAACTGGTACTGGTTATTTTATTAGTTTACTCAAAGTTTTGAATTAAAGATTTAGAACAATCACATTTGATCGGTTAATTATAATGTTATTTTTATTTTCTCATATTCTCTTAAGTTGTTAGTTTTGGACCCAATAAAAGTACTCTCTTCCTTCCCCTCTCCTCTAGATAAAATTAGAATTAGATTTAGAATTTATCATATATATATATATATATATTAAGAATACAACAATTTTAAATATTGGGTAAATTACTCATATGACCACTTAACTATGGGAAATCTCTAATCTCACTAAAAGCAAACTTTATAATGTGTTGATAAAAGAGATCGTTTTAATTTTAATTAAGAATCATTTCATTACGAAAGAAAGACACTTTAATGAAACTGAATGGATCACCCTTATTAGGAGGCATTTTCATTTAGTTGATGGAAGAAACTAAGCAGCAGAAAATCTCGAGGAAGTACATCTCAGTGACCAGATAAGATTGACCTTCATCCAAATACAAGAAGAAAATCTCTTACCGTGAGGATAAAATGAGAAAACAATAGTTCAGAAATACATAAATAACTCACCTCTGAATTATTTGGATGTGGGGAATGTGGCGCACTTTATAGAAATCTTCTCCTTCCCTTCCATCTATCATTTTAATCCTCTCTTCCAATGAACTCTTCATTTCTGTTAATTTCAGCTCTTGGAGAGTAGCAATACACTTCAACCCCTCTGGAATCATCTTTAAGTCTGAAATCTCCTCCAAGCTGATACTCCGGAGTTGTAGCATTGCGCCTTCTTCTATCTCCCACTCCTCCAACTGGTACAGATGATTTATGTCAAGAGAATCGAGTTGAGGAAATCCATTGGCGGAGCAAATCATTTTACTCCCCACATATGCATTATCCTGCAACTTAAGAATCCTCAAACAGGATAGCTTTTCCAATACACCCATTGGATCCTGTTTCATCCCACAACCCCACAAAGTTAACTTGACAATGTTCGGCGGAAGAAAATTCAAAACATGATGATCTCGATGCGGATCTTCTTTCATCTCCCCTTTTAACATTAGTTTGGAAAGGTGGTGAAACTGAGAAAGAGGTTCCAAGTCTGGATACGATGGGGTTGAGCCCCTCTTAAACTCCATGTACAATGACACAAGGCGTTGCAGTTCCATCAGAGACATTAGGATAGGCTTCACATCTTCTGCTCTCTTAAATGACATTCCTAAACTCTGAAGATTGCTCAATCCTACCACTGCTTTGCTGAATTCAATCAACTTCTCATCCACAACTATGCATTTTAGAGTTTCAATATGTTTCGGAAAAAACCTTAGGCGTAAACATGGCTTAATGCCTCCCCCGAACCGATTACGCAACACAATATGCCTCAAACGTTCCAACTTGGATACAACATTAGGTTTTATACTGCAAGATCGACATTGGAGGTATAAACTGTGTAAGCTTTTCAACCTTCCTATAGCCCGGGGCAAGAATATTTCTTTACCATATAGCTTCAAATACCTCAACTGATGGAGATTACCAATTTCACTTGACACATGCCAATAAAAAACATCCACTCTCACAAGATTCAAGACCCTTAAAAGTTTGAAATTCTTGCATTTTGAAATGTCCAGCTCTATCATTGCCTCATTTTGAAACAAAAACAATGAACGCAGTTTTGGATGCTTTCCCTTCAAATAAACATACGATTTGTTTGGATGAATAGCAATTCTTCGTACCATATATTCCGTTAATGTCACACCATATTCAGCCGACGGTGGCAGGACAGTTTCCAAGAAATTCTCTTCTTTTGCTTTTTCACTACAAAAATCCCTCAAGAGATCATGTATTCGAACTGTTTTCACATTTGTCCCTGTATAATCTCTCCTCACAACTTTAACCAAGCTTCTATTTATAAGCTCTTCCAGGAATTGTTCTCCCACATCCTCCATCAGCATCTCCTTGCTTTCTGGTGATGATGAAATGAAGCCTTCAGCAATCCATAATCGAATGAGTTCTTTCTTGGATATCTCCCAATCTTCAGGATAATGACCAAGATATAGAAAGCATGGTTTTAGAAGATAAGGCAAATCATCATAGCTTAAAGCCAGGATTGCATTCACTGCACCATATTGAGAGCCTTGTGGTTGGAAACCTTTCAAGTGTCCACGGATGTTTCTGCGAACCATCTCCCACTGAGCCAATGATTGTTTTGTTGCTAGCAAGCCTCCCAACACAACAATTGCCAGAGGTAGACCACCACATTTTTTCACCATCTCTCTTCCCAGCTTCTCATATTCTTTTGAGCAAGCATGAGTATCGTTACTGTTCCGTGGGAATGCTTTTGTGATAAAAAGCTCCCAACTCTCATCATCAGTAAGAAATGGAAGCTCTATTGGAGAGTTGCAAGTATCCGCTTGTAAAGCCACAACCTTGTTACGTGTTGTGAATAGGATTTTGCTTCCAATTTTTCCTCTTGGAAAAGCAGGTTTAAGAATATCCCAATCCTCGAATCTCCAGATATCATCGAAGACTATCAAATATCGTTTTTCTTTCAGAGCATCAAAAAGCCTTTTAACCAGGTCTTCCATCTTCTCCTTCTCAATTTTCTCTCTTTCCATGTTAGAAGGAGATAAAGCTTTCATCAAGACAAGAAGCAAAACTTCTCTTTGGTTATATTGTTGAGATATAGAAACCCAAGCCAAGCAATCAAAATGGCGCTTCACATCAACGTGTTTGTATACTTTTCTAGCAAGAGTAGTCTTTCCAATACCCCCCATGCCGACAATCGAGACGACGGCGTGGAGTCTGTCTTCTTCTGTCATCAACTGAGCCAGGACATCTTTGGTGCTAACCTCCAAGCTAATGACATCCTCTTGCTCAACATGCGAGAATGTTCTTCTTAACCGCTGCTGCATACTGGAAACAGAGCTAGATCCTGCTCCATCACCATGTATCTCAAAGGCTGGAAGAGTCTCGCAAATGTTTTTAAGCTTTGTTTGGATTCCTTGGATCTGCACTCCGATTTTGTGTAGATGAGAAGGCTTGGTGAAAATGGAGGCGAATCTCTTGACAACTCCTTGATGAGCTGCTTTAAGAATAAAAGAGTCGATGACATCTTCAGCATCGTAAGCAAGACCTCTGATCTCCGACACCCGATTGCGGAAACGCTCGTCTTGTTCCGGCTTGCGGTCTGCGTCCTTCAAGAAGCATTGCATTCGTTTTAGGTCGTCCTTGAGGCTCTGAACTTGTTGTTTCACATCTTTCAGAAAAAATGCTTCATTGATGAGTAAATCAGAAATCCTTTCAACAGCCAACGACACAATAGAGTCTGCCATTTTTTTTCGGGTCGAAAACAGAGTCCGATTACCAATTACTCTTATTTGTTTTCCAAGTGGGAATCATCTTGGGTAGGCACAATCTTAATTATATTTCTTTGGTTCTAATGGACAATGTCACAGCATGTACAAACAAAAAACAGAAGAATTTTTTCCACTTTATCTTTCTTATTATTTTCTGACATTATGTGCATTGTTGTCTTCTACGTACAGAATTTTCTTACTTTCACTTGGGCGCTTCAACTGTTCAACCTCCATTTTCTTAGTAAAAAATCTCAAGACATTGTAAAAATTTACTTTTTAGTGGAAGACCCCGCTGTCTTGCATTTGAGATACAGAACAATGGCTATATTAATGAAATATTATATTTTAAAAAAAATTTAATAGCACGAACGAAAAATCTACTTCGTCGATTTTTTTAATGTGGTGCCTTTACTTTCTAATTGAGTCATAGAAGTATGTTTTAATTGAGTAACTGACAAGCGTCGTTTTACTCGATAAGATAAGATAAAGTAAAATAAAACATCTTCTCAAATAAAAGAAATAAAAAGAAATATAGTACAGTAAAAGAGGATCAATTCACACAGGGATTTAGAAATTCTTGATACGATTTAGTGTCGATTTCAATTTAGGCAACTGCAAAAAAAATAAATTAGAAAATGGGGGTTTTACAAATGAGAGATCAAAGTAAATAAACAAAAGTATAAAATAAAAACTAAAGTAAAATAAAATAAATGAGAGCGGTAAATAAAAATTAAAAGATAATAATGGGAAAATCTCCTCGAGTTAGCTTTGATTCAATTCTGTTTGATAATCGAAATGGATTTTTGCTTCGAGATTCATATCGGTTACAGTCTACAAGGCCCAACCCATTATAACTTGCATTTCTCTCTAGTAAGCGATCTTTCCAATTCTATCTTTGAAAGATGATTCTTGAGTGGATTAACAACAACTATTGTTGTTAAAACAATCATAATTAAGTATTGGAAAGGCCTGACTCGGATTATGTTGTCTCGTCGAGAATCGAACCCGATCTTGATTTCCCTTAGCGGACCGCCTCTAAGTGTGTTCACATGAAGTCGAATATGCCACATGCCGATCCTTCTCCCAACTATAAATTAAAATAACATCTAGACCAACGTAGACTTTTTGATTTGAAAGCGTCTTAATTTTAAAAAGATGGTCGATTGATGATCTTTGATTCCAGAAAATTGAGAATGAAACCTGAAGGTATTTTATTGCTTTTCAATTCTCACATATGGAACTGAATCATCGCTAGCACTCGACTAATAAAGAAAAAAAACTTTATAAAACGGAGAATGAAAATTACAACATAAAATTCGAGATAAGAGATATCTAAGTCATACCCTAAGGAGGGTATTTATAGGCTTCTAAATCCTAAAAATAACATGGAAATTAAAGTTAATATAATCATAAAAAGATAATCCCAAGTGTTTTTGAATTCAAACTTAAATTTAGACACCTAAAGATTTCGTCCATCCTCCTTCAGATAATGTTGACTGGACTGCTTCTAGAAACTTTATGATGACTGACCTTCTAGAATCTGCCACATTAGACCCGCGTCGTGCCCAACGTTGTGTCCATGCCTCCAACTGCGACCAAAAAAACAACAAAAAATTGTAGAACATGCCTTTCTGCTTCCAATTCAAATAAAAAGGTTATCTGTACAGAAAATAAGTCAAATGCAACCAAATCAGTAGTGAAAAGTTCATAAAGCAATAGAATTGGGAAGTAAAAAGTGTCACTTGCAACCACTCATCAAATTCCCCCTCACTTGTCTCATACTTGCCCTCAAGTTTTTTCGGATTAAACTAGTTAAAAACTTTAATTACCTTCTCTCAATCCATTTCTTACTTAAGCAAATCATGGAAAGCATGTCCACAATAATCACACAAAATAAACATCAATCAAGTGAATAAACATAAGTTAGAATAAATCAACAACCATGGAACGTTCTATCATTCATCAATCAAATATTCAGCCTAACTTAGTTTCTCACCAAGATTCACTCAAATCACTTGAATGTGTTTCGGGTGCAAAAATTATGCTCAAAGTCAGAATTTAATAAGGATTGTCATAAGCTTGTGACATAATCAATTCTCCACTGTTTAGAAGAAATATGGTGCACGATCATTAGGTTTTTAGAAGGGATGTAATGGGCTTAGGTAAATGTATGGAAAAAGCAAAAAAAAATGAAGGTTTAAAAAGCAAGACAGAGAATTTTCTACAATATTACTAAGTCCACGATTGAAACAAAATGAATGAAACAAAACAAACATGTACAAACAAAATTAAATGAACCAAACTTTTTTTTGTCTTTCGATTTTTTCTATTTTTTTCTTCTTCTTTTTTCTTTTTCGAACTTTTTTCCTTCTTCTTTTTTTGATTTTTTTGTGGAACAAATGTGTAAATAAAGTTCAATTCTTTGTCTTCTCAAGGGTGAAAGAACAAAAAGGGTTTGTGGTTTTCCAATGATGGTGAAAATAAGGAAATGGGCATTGGCTTCAACTTGGTTCACTAGTGGAAAAGAAAAAGGGTAGTTTTTTTTTCTTGGGTAAAAATGGGGTAAATCCTAATGCCTAAGTCATATCAAGCAATCTATTTCATATGTAATATGAAAATGCATCATGCCACAAGTTATAGATTTCCAAAATTCAATTCGACACACACTCAAGAAAGAAAAAGAGCATAAAAGTGAAAATAAACATGCTCAGGCTCAAAACATCACAAAATACATTAATGAATCAAGCTAGGCAAAAAATTCAACCAATAAAATCAAGGATGTTGCAAAAGCCATTAAATTAGCATTCTACTCATACCATTCAACTATCAAGGGTGTCAAGATTCAAGATAATTTCATGAGCCCAAATGACCACAATCATGCTTGAAATAGTCGGAAAAAAAAGAAGAATTGTAATCAAGTAATTAACAAATCCAATCGAATATTCAATCAAGCAAATAAAAGACAAGTAGAAGAAAGAATTTGATGCAACCTTTACCCTCCCCCTCACTTAATTGTATTGTCCCAATACGAAAATAAAATATAAATCGTAAGAGAAAGGGTAAAGGGTAAAGAATACTCCTCGTGCTTATAAGTAATGATGGTGAAATAGGATATTCGATTGTGTTCGACCGCTCAAAGAGAAATTGTTGGAGCGTGGATTGATGCCAAAGTTTTCTACATAGCCAAAGGGAAATACCATTAGTAATAGGTAACAAAAATAAGCTCGTGTATTTACCTCAAATTTTCTGATTCAACAGTGGGCGATGGTGTCCGTGATTAGCAAAGAGCAGAGATGAAAACATAATGAGCAGCGGTGGCATAGTCAAAAGCAAAAATAAACGTTGTGCAAGCAACGATCGGAGTAGTGAACGACGTGTAGCAATAGCATATGAGTGATGGGGCGTGAACGGGTACGGGAGGTGAAGGCATGTGTGCTTGTTGTTGATGCCCACCACAACAAAGAGGAGGCGGGGTCGGTTTGGAATTGCTCGAAACTTGTACAAAGGCCTTATCCGCAGAGTATGAAACGGAATGACCATTTTTACCTTGATTTTGTGTTCAAACATTATTGATAGTCGACATAGCAGTGGTGGTGATGGAAAAGAGCAAGGTGGTGGCACACGTTTAAGAAGGTGAAGGTTTTCGACTATGGAGGAAATGATTAAAGAAATAGAAGAAAAATGGAAGAAATGAAGATTCAGATGAGGGAAGGAAAATAAGAAGAAAAATGGTGAAAGTGTTAAGTCACGTGTGGAATAAAGAAAAATAAAAAGGAAAGAAGTTGAGTGGGTTTGGGATTTGTGGGAGGTGATAAGGTGGGGCGCAAAGGTATTTGAAAAATAAGGAAAAGGTTTGTTGGTCAAACCTATTAGAGAAATGTTTTAAAATGGGGGAAATTATGTTGAAATGGGCGACAAAAAGTGATGAAATTGGGGGTTTTATAACATGTGTCATGCCTCACATGGCTTTGGTAACGTATGTCGTTTAATGAAACGGTGCATTCCACCATTTTTTTGAAATGAAACAATGGAACGAAACGAAATTAAAATGGGTTTCATCCCATGAAGCACTTTTGTTTAATGTCGTTTAGCTCGATGACTTGATTCAGACTACATCTTTTCTTTGAGATGTTTCCTGGTCATAAAATTAAAACAAAATATAGATCAGTAATTTGCTGAAATCCCCGACAACGACGCCAATTTTGACAAGCGTCATTTTACTCGTTAAAATAAAATAAAACCTCTTCTCAAATAAAAGAAATAAAAATAAATATAGTATAATGAGAGAGGGTGATCCAGTAACACCCTACACCAGTACGACACACAATCGACCAATGAGAGTGCCACATGGAACCACCGGAGTGGCTAACCAACAAATTTCCTTTAACATACTCACTTGAAATTTAAAGCTTTATGTGTAAACACTTGCAATAAAATAGAAAATAAAATCCATGTACAATAATTTATAGTCGGGATCTCCCACAATTATAAAATAAATCAAAATATACAAACCAGGTATTTAAAACAATTTATAACTCAAATTTACAAAATAGAGCTTTGATTATACATGCCCTCTAGAAATTTGAGATGTAATCTGTTTTGTAGTTTGGTTTGGATTTCTTCTAGTCAAAAGGCTCCTCTGTTGATATTTACCTAATATGTGTAAGGAAACAAATTCCAAATGCAGAGCCAACTAGCCTATGAATGATAGGTTAATTGTTACACTAACTCACTCCCACCTACCAAGAACTTTACGTGATTTTAGACTATTGATCGATAAGATGACAGACGAGGTAATCGATTTTAATTTATTTTGTAAATTAAATATCAATTTTTTATTCGATTTTATCTAACTTAGTTTAAAAAATATTTTTCTAGTTCATATGGACCTCGTACAATGATGATTCTATTATATCATGTACTCCAATTGAAATAGGTCTGAGTTCAGACATTTGTATATTGATGGTCCCGTTGATAGTCTATGAGATAGTCGAGTGGTATCCTACTGATCGTGTGTTGTGAAA